GCTGGATATTAGTTGTTGGGGAATGTGCTCTTCCACCTTAAGCAAGTCGTCCGCAAACCTGTTAAGAACCCTCCCTGTTGCGTAACATGAGAAAACAGTTAGGACAGACCCAGGCAATCTCGAGTTTACTTGGGGAACACAAAGGCAAGCGTTGAACATGAAACATAAAAAAGGAGGGGCGACCATCATCTTTGACAGATTAGAACGGAAACACCGATAATGATGCAGATAATCATTGGTAATCATTCATTCTTTATTTCAGGTAAACAAACCGATATAACACATGTACAGCTGAGTACATCATTAAAATAATACAAAAACTCTACAGACTTACAAATAAACAGAAAGAAAGCTAGAAGCATAATAAATTGTAGGTCTTCCGGAAGAATGAATTCCTGTAAGAGGCATCGGAACTTATTAAGCGACTAACATTAGAAAAGAACTAGAGGTCGGAGATCTCAAGTCTTCGTCAGAGGTACATCGTTCTAGAGAAATTAACATGCGTATTCTTCACTCTTTTTAATAATCAATTTGGTCTAAAGAACAAAAGAATCTCTGTACAATTTTTATGGTACAGAACAGCCTGAAACGGTTTGCCGCAGATTATACAGATGCGTCGTAACCCGTGGTAGCCCCCCCCCCCCCCTACGTTATTTGAGTTTGGACTGTTACTGGAAAAAAAATTCTTACTGTGTTGAAAGTGTCACGACAGTGTCACAAAATATAATAAGAGAAGATGTTATAAAGGAAAGAATCAGAACACGGTGACTACTGCTGTTTTGTTAATTTGTCTTTATGACAAATAGAAGACTTGTTTCTTGTGTTCTTTGTGTCCTAACATTTGTACTTCTACAGTTAGTATATTCCAAATCTAGGCATCTCGTTTTTCGGCCCTTCGTGTTTTTATTGCGCGCTTGCCTTAAATTTAAGGTAATTAGATTTAAGGTCTCCAGTGGACGTCATCCATAGCAATTACTTGGTGTGGCCGTAGAAAATAACCTGACATATGTCCAACCTATCCTCCCCCTGCTGAAGTACAATAGTACAGTCCCTCAATGTAACGTCATTTGATCCCATCCCATTATGGGGTTCCCCGGCTATATCCAGCTGCCGACTGTCTCCAAGCAGATGTAGGTGGGGGATTTCTAAACACAAAAGGTCCTATTACGGGGACATAACGACCTCCACGACTCTCATCTTTGAACTCAATCTTGGAGACCACGACAGTAACATGCCTATCAAATTTCATTAACTTCCATCCACACATACAAAAGTTATCCTGCTCACAAGAAAAATTAACAAAATGCCCCCTGTAGTCAGAACGAAACCCCCCACGAAGCTCAGTAACGAACTTAACCTTGGTCCTGACAATAGTAAGCACCACACCAAGAATTATAATCAACATTTTACAAATACTTGAGTTATCTTGCTAACAAGCCACAAACACAAAAGGTGCACTAACGTGACGCACGGACCCCCCACGAAGCCGAAACTTGTACTTGACTTCGGCCTCAACAGCGTTAATCTCCCTGCCAAAAATCATGGACGTCGAATCATGCCTTCTAGAGTTATATCGCAAAATCCGCAGTTCCCCACACTCCGGCGAGACAATTTCATAGTCCTTCTGACGAAGACAATAACAAATCCTCCTCCGCCTGGTTTCAAATGTGTCAATATAGTGATAGGCAAACATAATCAACGTTTCATTCAATCACCGGGTGGGAAACCTGACTTTCGCTTTTGACTACCCTTAATTCAACTTTGTACATATTTTGTAAGTGTATGTTTATTA